AAACTGCACAGCAGCAGCAACTCCCAGATCGGTGCAACAAACTGTTCAGCATTGTTTCGGCGGGCATCATGGGCGCTGGAACATGCGGTTCCACCAGAGTGGTGCGACCACAACCTCCCCGCTGTCGTGGAGTCGCCCGAGCCGCTCTTGGCGCGCAGGGACTGTGTCGAATAACCAGTAGTACACAGATCGCCGTGGCTGGTTCCCCTTCCGCAACTCGCAGATCTTGTAGCAGAAACGCTGCAAGTTAACAATCGGCCGTCGCATTTGAGCAAGGATGTGTTCGCAGCCGATTTGCAAGAGGCGGTCACCGAACTCGCTGTGATGCAGAATGCAAGCAAACACCTCATTCGCTCTGCAGCTCTGGTAGTAGCACTGATCCCAAGCGTTCCTCCTCATATCAACAGCCCTCTCTGGCACGATGCGCCCCCCGTTAAAGAGCAAGGCGTCGATGACTTTGCCTCCACCCCAGGCTGTCGACCAGGACGTTCGCAGCAAGAGTTCCGCACGGTCACCCCACTGTACCGGGAGTAGTTTCATAATCATGAGCAAATAAGTCGTTGGAACGCGGTGATCTGGCACTTCGCGCACAAGCGCTGCAGCGCTCTGCCTGGTCCAGGTTGAGCAACACTAGGACCCGTGGTAGTGGTGTCGACGACTTTTCCTGGTACTGGTGCTGGCGCGGATGATGCTGCTGAGCCAGTTGAAGAACATTGGTACTGGGGTCGGCACCTGCAATGATGGCCGCGACTCGCGGTGGGCCAGGCTGCGCAGCACTGGCCTTGCTTTCTGCGAATCCGAATGACATCGAGTCATCAGTCGCCGGCGCCGCTGGTGAGAGACTGTTGGTAGCGGGGCGCACGGTTGGTACGCGCCGATTTTTACTCCAGCGGACCGGCTGCGCAGCATGGGTCTTCTCGAGTAAGCCTGGCAAAGCTACGCGGTACCTTTCAAATATTCGATGCAACTGTTCTCGGGCTGGCCGGTACACTCCGCGACCGCGGTCTCTGTTTCCTGAGCAGTGCTGCCGCACCATGGTTCCCACTGGCACGTCCGCTGCATGGCCACTCCCTGATGGCATTGGCCCAAGCTATCTACAGGCCGTCCTCGGTAGTCTCTGCCGGCAAATGCTTCAGCACAACGCAATAGTGTCTGTCCGACCTCTGAGGCACAACCTCGGGCTGTATTTCGCAGGAACATTGTTCTCTGCAGGATGCTCAACACTGTTTGCTGGGTCTCGTGCCTCGCCACTCGAGGTCCGTAAGAATGCCCGCATGACGCAATACACTGCTGCACGCTCTTGCGTGGCTCTGCAAGTCACGGAATTGAGCCTGAACGGCAACGAAGATGAAACGCATTACGACGCGGTGCTGAACAAATACATGCACACGCACACGCACACACACACACACATGCAGCATTCCACATGAGTGTTATGTATATATACACACATATATTTGCATATACAGAAAGACATGTTGGACATGCGATATTACGTCGGGTTTCATGTCTCCCGGCCGGTGCTATGTGCGAAACCTTTGTGAATCCGAAGGGCTCAAGCTGCCCCACTAAGAGCTCAAGATGGCCCACAGACAGACAACATGCATGGAGCATACGTGCGCACACACACATATAAGTACATATATATATATATAGCAGCAGCAATAGTGGATGCTGTAGTGCGCTTTGCTATGCTATGCTGTGCTATGCTATGTTATGCTGCGCAATGCTATGCTTGGCTAGGCTAGGCTAGGCTAGGCTAGGCTAGGTTAGGCTATGTTGCGCTATGTTATGTTGCGCTATGATATGCTATGTTATGGTATGAGATGCTATGGTATGCTATGATATGCTATGATATGCTATGATGTTGATTTGCCTTCGTTTTTGCCTTCACGTTTGCCTTTGCTTTTGCTTTTGCTTGGCACCCAGGGAACGCAACTGGGGGAACCGCGCGTTTGCTTTTACCTTTGCTGTTGTTTTTGCTTGGCTCCCAGGGGACTGGGGGAACCGCCCGGGGCGGTTTGCACTGCCCGGCCCCTGTAAGCCAAGCGAGTTTGAACCCTTCTAGGCAGAGCTTAGGTAGGAAAAAAACCTGAGGAGCCCCTCAGGACTCCAACGATGAATCGGAGTGGTGACTTACGTGTGCGCGGTAGCGAAGCGAGGAATTCTATACGCCCTTTATGACTCCTGTAGAAACCCTATAAGGATCCTGTTGGAAAAAAACAAGAAAATCCTATAGAAACCCTACAGGGATCCTACAGAAACCCTACAGGGATCCTACAATAACCCTATAAGGATCCTACAGAAACCCAATAGGCATCCTACGGAAACCCCGAAGGGATCCTACAGGAGCCCTACAAGGGTCCTTACAGAAGCCCTATAGGGATCCTACTGAAACCCTATAGGGGTCCTACAGAAGCCCTAGCAGCATCCTACAAAAACCCGACGGAGGATCCGACTGATACCCTCCTACAGAAACCCTACCGTCGTGGCCCCGTACGCATGCCCTTCGTAGCCCCGCTGTCGACCTTCGTGGCCCCCTCGCTGCCCTTCGTGCCCCCTTTGTTGCCCTCAGTGGCCCCGTTGTCGCCCTTTGTGGCCCCGTATACGAATGCCCTTCGTGGCCCCCGCTCGCTCGCGCCCGTCGTGGCCCCATCTGCATGCCTTTCGTGGCCCCGCTATCGCCCTTTGTGGCCCCCTCGCTGCCCTTCGTGGCCTCGGTGCTGCCCTCAGCGGCCCCGTCGCTGCTCTCTGTGGCCTCGGATTTTATACCCTTCGTGGCCCACGCTGGCTTTTCTCACGATTTACTTGGGAATTGCGCTATCGCTCGAGACTTCCTCGCGATTCATGCAGGACCCACCTTCGGCAACCCGCCTGCTCGACATCGTCGCCTGGGCCCGCCTTCCCGACTTCCCTGCTATGGGTCTGCCCACACGATCTGCCCGTCTGGTTATACCACTTGTTTTCTGCTCCTTGCCCCCCTCCTGCAAATTTCTCGTGCTCCATTATTATCCCTCCCCCTTCCACCCGTCCTCTCTTCCCTTGTTTCAGGGTCTGCAGTAAATACACGTATCGAAGACGACGAGGGCGGGTACCGAGGGTTTGGGATATACGTATTGATCAGCACGTGAGCACATCGGAGCGAACAGTCCTAAAATGACTGTGTTGTTGTTGGGGGGGGAGAGCGCCAGGGTCCGGCGCCCGCTCCTATTCAACAACAACAACAACAACAACAACAACAACAACAACAACAACAACAACAACAACAACAACAACAACAACAACAACAACAACAACGGCCAATGACTGAAGTGCGAAGAAGTCTCGAGCGAGAGCGCCGTTCCTGAGTTCGGGGGCCTCTTCAGCAAGGAGCTCTCGGAATACCTACGGAGAAATGTCGAACGGGAGCCCTTGTCACCGTGTCCGGGCCTCCACCAGCTTGCCTGAATTACGGGAAAGTCTCGAGCGAGAGCGCCGTTCCTGAGTTCGGGGGCCTTCTTGGCCAGGGGCCCTCGGAGTAAGTCGTGAGGAAATATCGAGCAGGAGCCCTCGTCGTCGTGGCTGGGCCTCCGCCAATTTGATTGAACTGCGAGGAAGTCTCGAGCGAGAGCGCCGTTCCTGAGTTCGGGGGCCTCTGTGGCCAGGGTGTCTCGGGGTAAATTTTGAGGAAGTATCGAGCGGGAGCCGTTGTTGTCGTAGCTGGGCCCCCAAGGGCCCACATTTAGGCTCAAGCCAACGCTCGAGCGGGAGCCGCGTTTTCAGAGAAAATATAGCCGGCGTCGAGGCGAGAGCGCGCGGAACCGTTTGCCGAGATCGACTATGATTATTATCTGGAAATGAACATCCAACACAACAGCAACAGCAACAACAAAAACAAAAACAGCAAGAACAGCATAAACAAAAATGAACAAACAGACACACAAACACACAAACCAACACACAAACAAACAAAAACAGCAACACCAACAACCACAACAACACCAACAACCACAACAACAACAACAACAACAATTACTAGCACGTGGGGACACTCCGTTCTCACCAGTGCCAGGGTTTTCATAGGAGGCGGGCAATACCCCCACTTTGTGGGGGGGCCGGTTCAAGCTCTACCAAATTTCCAAACGACTCTTCGCCACCACCCACACCCAGCTTCCCGCCCTATGACGTTCGGACACTTCACTTCGTGGCATGCGGACGACCGTGGCTACTATTCAGGGCCCCGCGGCCGACGACGACGGCGTGCGCGCGCGAAGAAAAAACGAATGTGTCCCGCATGGTATTATTTGACAGGGATGATGGCCCTGGCAGGTGCGCAACCGTTGTTGCAGAAGTTCGAAAAAGTTGCTCGCAAAAGCCCGTTTGACAGAAATGTTTAAAAAGTGTTGGGTTTCCTACGAATCCGCAAGAGCGCGCGGGATGAAATTTCGACATTTTTTGTTGAAAAACCATTGGTTTTTTGATGTTTTTATGTTAAAATCGCTACGAAAACTAAGGTTTTGGAAGGATTTCGTCTTGCGCGCGCGAATGTCCACTTTACCTTATTTTTTGCAAGGGATTCTTGAAATTTGATTATATTAGAACAAGAAATGTCATTTTATAGTGTTTTTTGCAAGGGAAAAGCGGATTACAACAAAACAACCGGATCTGGATCACATCGTTTTACCTGAGGCTTCCTCACGAAAATGATGAAAATGTGGCTGCGGCCTAGGCGCGGCGAGGGGGGCGTGCACCAGGGGGCCCAACAATAATTACTTTAGAATTAATAATATTCAACCACAACAACAACAACAACAACAACAACAACAACCACAAAACGATAACAGCAGCAGCAACAACAACGATAACAGCAGCAACAACAACAAACCACCACAACAGCACAACAACAGACAACAAACAAACAAACAAATAAACAAACAAACAAACAAACAAACAACCATACAAACAAACGAGCAAACAAACGAACAAACAAGCAAACCAACGAACAGACAGAAGCGCGCTCTCCTGGAGGCGGCGCGGCCAGCCAGTCGCACCAGTCGCCCAGGTCCACCCCGGGGATGCTGCCGAGGGCCACGGTCGCAGCGCCGCCAAAGTGCGGGGGGCCGCCCGGGGGGGCCTGCGGCCGCCGCTCCCGCTCGCGCCGGGCGGTGGCGGTCCTGGCGAGGACGAGGGGCGCGTTGTCCACCACCACCACCATAAGTTGGAGGGGGAGGTCAGGTCAGGTCAGGTCAGGCGTTCCTCGAGAGCTCTCGTGAGAAGGCTACCGGGGGGGGGAGGCACAGAAGCCACAGCCCAGAGGCCTAAGTGGAGGAGGAGGAGGAGGAGGAGGAGGAGCAGAAGGAGGAGGAGGCGGAGGGGGAGGAGGAGGAGCATGAGGGGGGAGGAGGGGAGGAGGGAGGAGGAGGAGGAGGAGGAGGAGGAGGAGGAGGAGGAGGAGGAGGAGGGGAAGGAGGAGGAGGAGGAGGGGGGGAGGAGGAGGACAAGGAGGAGGAGGGGGAGGGAGGAGGAGGAGGAGGAGGAGGAGGAGGAGGAGAAGGAGGAGGAGGAGAAGAAGGAGGAGGAGGATGCGAGCAGCAGGAGGAGGAGGAGGAGGAGGAGCAGGAGGAGGAGGAGAGCACACTTCCTGGCGGCAGCCATCCAGGGGTCCTCCTCCCCCTCTTCTTCTTCTTCCTCCTCCTCCCTCCTCCCTCCTCCTCCCCCTTCCCCCCCTCCTACTTGTGATGGTGGTGGTGGAAAACAGGCCCATCGGATGAGGTCTGAGACCGTCTCTGCGCCCAGCGGTGCACCCTGTCGCTCCTCGTGTGGCGACAGCGCAAAGTACGGGAGCAGGGGAACAACCCTGAGATCCTGGCGAGCCCACTTCTTCGAGCCGGGCGTGTTCGCTCCCTTTCGGGCCCCAGGAGCCTCACAGCTCGTTCCTCGGGCCCCAGGACCCTCACGGATCGTTCCAGCTAGAGGAGTGACGCAAACAGATGGGGCCTGGGGGTCTGGTCGTGAGTTTTTGCGATGTTGCATCTTTGTTGCAACGTCGGATATCAGGGAAACAGTGACACAAGCATAAACGCTCGAGGGTCCGCGCGGATTCCTCGGATCTGCGCCGGAGCCCCCTGGAGGCGCCTCAGGCGCCGCCCCTGGCGCGCTCCGCGCGCAAGGGAAGGGGGTCCAGCGCCGATCCGAGACATCCGCGCGGACTTACGAGATTTTACCCTTATGTCAGCCAGTGTTCCCCTAACGGAAGCCCCAGCAGCTCGTCGACGTCGTTTCGTCTGTGGGACCAGAGGAACAGCGCGAAGCCCTTGAGCGAGAAGTTGAGCTCGCCAACTGCATCTGTCATCGCGCCGCTGAAGTGGCTCGGCAGGGAGTGGATCACAGGGTCTGTGTAGAGATCACCCACACCTTGGATGTCTACAATCATCAGTCGCCGACCAGACTGGATGAACGTGAAATAGCTGAATGCCTGCGGCGTAGTACGGCTCCCCAGGGTATGACCGTTGTTAGTGTTGTGTTTGGTGTAATCACCGAACATGAACGCCTCCACGCCGAATGTGCGCCCGTCGGAGAGCTCGATCATGTGAGGAAGCAGGAAGTCGACGTCGTGTGCTCCGCAGCGACCCAGGCCAGTCTCGGCGGAGCGACGGTGCACCTCTCTGTTGAAGAGCTCTGCGTAGTGCTTTGCCAGCGTCTGGTGAATGACGTCATTCTGACAGGCCTCTCTGTGTAAAAACTTGCGATGGTGGTCCGCGATGGAACGCTTCGCCACCCACAGAGTCCGATGTCTGCCCCTGGATAGCTCCAGAACGGCGAACGCAATCGCCTGGAAAGTCAGGCGGTCGCTGGTCGCACCAGGCTCACGCGCAGCGTTCAGATGCACCTCCTTCATGCGGAAGCACTCGCGCACGGCCCCCCTGCCAAAAGGCTTTGTGTCCATCTGGATGACCACTGCGTCGTCTACCCAGCCGCCGGTCGCCACATCGAAATGCCACCGCGTCGCAATCTGGGGGTCTCCCGGGACGAAGCTGCCCCACTGGTGGCGGACTGCCTCCCGAGCGAGTTGCACGAGCGCGCTCACGGCCGCAGGCTTCAGCGCACGATGGGTGCTCTCAGCGGGGCAGCGGGATCCTCGAGACAGTACGCGCTCGCGGGTCTCGGGGGACAGCCGGAAGCGGTCTCCGGCGGGCACGAACATTGCTCTGGCTCCAGAGTCTAAATCTGAAACGACGCGAGCCTCCTTGCGTCAAGGTGAAGGGCATGGAGTCAGCCATGAACGGTGGCACTTGAGCATCCAACTTGAGACAAACTTTCCTGCACCCTGCTGGGCTGACCCAGGATCAGCCGGCATCGAATCGGAAAATCGGATCGGATCGGAATGTGCGCCGGATCGAGCCGCATCGGCCCCTAGTCACGGTCGAAATCGAGTAGGATCGCGCCGCGCCAGGACGCATTTCAGCGCCATGCGAGCAGCGGGCCACACTGGATCGGGCCCCGCCGAGGTCGAGATCGCAGAGGATCGATCGGACCAAAATGGCCACTGCTGCGAGGCTCCCTGCCCCTGACTGCCAACGTCTCCCTCTGACCTTGTGGATGCCGTGACATTGGACACTCTAACAGTCTTATCATTGAATTAAAGATGTGTTTAAAATGTGTAAAACATGTTCTAAAAATGTGTCAAACATGTTCCTTACATATGTAAAACATGTTTGGGACATTTGGGGACATCTGGAAATTATTTGGCAGCATGCTTCCTCTCCATTGATCGTCCCCCACAATTCTGACCTCCCCTCGTGGGGCGGACATCGCCGACGCCCAAAGAGCAGGGTGCGCGCGGCGGAGCTGCCCGCGATCCGGAGCACGCGCGCTACTTGCCGTCGCTCGGAAGCCCATTTCCCGTGCTCTTGTCAGTTTCGTGCGTGCTTTGCTTCGCTCGAGGATCCAGGATGTGCCTCGAGGGCCCTCGCCGAGAAAAAAAAAAAAAAACAAAAAAAAAAAAAAAAAAAAAAAAAAACACGCCCGAGCGATGCCCAGGGCCATAGCGCTGACCCGTGCCCGTCCGCCGAGGCCCCGCGGGGCGCCCGCGTGCGGCCGGAGGCGCACGGGGGTCGCACGGCGGAGGCCACCGAGGAGAACGCACACCGCTGCCCAAGTCGTCGTTTTCCTACTCGTTGTTGCCTCGATCGGCACGGGCCCTCCGCCCCCCTCCGCCCCCCCCTCCCCGTGGAGTAGATCTCGGCTGCTTTGGGCGCCTGCTTCGAGCTTGCGGGGCCTCCCCCCACAGGACGCACTGCTGCCAACAGTCGCACTAGGCAGAGGTCCGGAGCCAGACCCCCCCCCCCCCTCCTCCCTCCCCTTCCGCCCATTGTCGAAACGCCGCCGAATAAGAAAACGTTCACTATCCGTGACATGGTCAACGTTTTCTTATTCGGCGTTTCGACATTGGGCGGAAGGGGAGGGGGGAGGGGGGGGGCTGGCTCCGGATCTCTGCCCAGTGCGACTGTTGGCATCAGTTTTTCCTGTGGGGGGAGGCCCCACCTGTTCGGAACAGGCGCCCAAAACAGCCAAGATCTACTCCATGGGGGGGGAGGGGGTGCGAGGGCCCGCGCACGATCACATGGTCGAGATCACGAAGGCTTCACGAAGGCTTCGGTTCCGCCGTCCGCGTGGTGGGGCTCCCCGAGCGCGTCGACCTGGCAGCCTCGCCATGCTGAAGAACGCCGAAGAAGATGGTCCAGCGAACAGCCGAGCAGCTCGGGAAGTTCGCACCTTCCGCAAAGCAGCTCGTTCTCCTCAGATCCGACGTCGTGAAGCAACACGCGACAAGCAATGTTGCCCCGATTCCTGGGCGTTGCTTTAGGTCGGGCATGTCCTCCCGCAAGTGGATTTTGGAGGAAAAACGAATAATAGTCCAAACGTAATCGAAAATCGTCCCCCAGACTACTCTCCCGCTGTTTTGAACACTCCTCCCGTGGAGGGACACGCCCGACTGAGGCGCCGCTTCACGGGGGGGCGCTAAATGAGAGCAGGGGGGGGGGAGCAGCGTGCACGGTCGTGCCCCGTGTGGACCCCGGGGGGACGCCCTAGGGCCGGGCTTGGCACACACAAGAGGGGGGGGGAGCAACGTGAGCGGTCGTGCCCCGTGTGGACCCCTAGGGCCGGGCTTGGCACACACATGGTGCGCCCCTCTCCACCACTCTCCGCGGCTCGCCCCCCGCGGCGCAACGCCAGAGCTTCGAGGAGCCGTGGGAGCTCCTTCGGCGGCAACTCCTGGGAGCCTCCCGCACCGTCCCGCCGGCTCTTGCGAATCGACGCTGCGTCGACGCTGAATCGACGCCAATCGACGCTCCATCGACGCGAGCCGCCGCTGAATCGGCGCCATCTCATGTCGACTCCCGGGCGCCGCTCGCCGCCAGTCGACGCCAAGGATGGACTCGAGAGGGTGTGCCGGGCTCCCGGTGGCTTGCTGCCGAGAGCTGCCCGGGCCCACCTGGCTCCGGCAGAGACTGCGGCGAGAGCGGAGGCCAAGGCGTCCGAGCAGTGACCCGCCGTGCCGCCGCGGCCCTGCCCGCCGCGCCGGAGAGCGCGGGGCCAGAGCAGCGGCGCGCGGGGCGGCCCCGACGCGCACGGTGGCCCGGGGGCGAGGCTGCCGAGCCCGCGGCGCATGGGCCGCACGGCCCTGGGGCCGGGGCTGGCGGCGCGCACGAAGACGGGCAGCTCGGCAGCCGCCCACGGGAGCCTCCCGTGCCATCCCGCCGGATCCTGCGATGCGACGCTGGCCGACGCTGCGTCGACGCTGGGCGACGCTAGATCAGCGCTAATCGACTCTAACCGACGCTACATCGGCGCTATCTCATCGACTCTAGACGCTAGTCGACGCCAATCGACGCTGAAGACGGAAATACCGGGCTGCCATGGTTTTCTGACTCGCCGGCACCAACGGCGCAAAGATGTCGAAGCCCCGACAATCATCCAAACGAAGTGACTGTACAGAGGAGCCGATCTATGCTACAATGGGCTTCAGCCCCGGCAGTGTCCAGCAATCACGCCGACATCGCAAGATAAACCGCCAGAAGTTCGATTCAACCATATTCAACCAACCAGTCCAGAGACTGCCCTCATGTCTGCGCACAAAACATTATGCATCAGCGAAGATTGAACCAGTTCCTCGGAAGCATGACCAAATGCGAATGCAAAAATGTGGCTCAAACGGAGCGTCTGATCGGAGGGCGAGCCAGTGAGCGAGCTCGAGTGCGGGCAGGCCGCCGAGGTCACCCCTTTGAGGTGCCTCTTCCAATACCCCTCCCGCCCCCTCCCCAGCCCCTCCTACCTCCCACATCGGTCGCGCGGCCGCGCTCAGGCCCACGCTGCAGCGAGGACGCACATCATCGCCGAGACGACGGATACGACGTCGCGACCCGCGAAACTGGCGGTATGAGCGACGTAGTCCCCGCACGTGAAGGCGTTGGTTGGCGCCGGAGTCGGTGCGTAGGTCGGAGGCATCGGCGTCGGCGCGTAGGTCGGAGGCGCTGGCGTCGGCGCGGCCGTCGGCATCGGCGTCGGCGCGTAAGTCGGCGGCACCGGCGTCGGCGCGTAGGTCGGAGGCGCTGGCGTCGGCGCGTAGGTCGGAGGCGCTGGCGTCGGCGCGGCCGTCGGCGCGGCCGTCGGCGCGTAGGTCGGCGGCACCGGCGTCGGCGCGGCCGTCGGCGCGGCCGTCGGCGCCGCCGTGGGCGCGGCCGTCGGCGCGGCCGTCGGCGCGTAGGTCGGCGGCACCGGCGTCGGCGCGGCCGTCGGCGCGGCAGTCGGAGCGGCCGTCGGCGCAGCCGTCGGCGCGGCCGTGGGCGCGGCCGTCGGCGCGGCAGTCGGAGCGGCCGTCGGCGCAGCCGTCGGCGCGGCCGTGGGCGCGGCCGTCGGCGGCATCGGCGTCGGTGCGGCCGTCGGCGCGGCCGTCGGAGCGGCCGTCGGCGCAGCCGTCGGCGCGGCCGTCGGTGCGTAGGTCGGAGGCATCGGCGTCGGCGCGTAGGTCGGAGGCGCTGGCGTCGGCGCGGCCGTCGGCACCGCCGTCGGCGCGTAGGTCGGAGGCATCGGCGTCGGCGCGTAGGTAGGAGGCGCTGGCGTCGGCGCGTAGGTCGGAGGCGCTGGCGTCGGCGCGGCCGTCGGAGGCATCGGCGTCGGCGCGGCCGTCGGCGCCCCCGTCCCATCCATGCAACACACATCCTGACTGCAATCGGACTGAGACGCACCGCACACAGCAGTTGCCTGGAGCAGCATGTCACCGCAAGGATAATCGGCTGCGGCCGTCGAAACGAGGGCCAGGAAAACAGCGACGCGATTGATCAGAGCCATCGCACGGCAGAATTCCTTCGTCAGAATATCAGAGACAGCAAGCTTGCGCCAAAACGCCTTCAGATAAAATGGCTACGGAATACCAGGCTCCCATGATTCGCTACTGAAGGGTAGGGAGAAGGCTTCTGAGAAGGAGGCTGCTTCTGAGAAGCCTTCCCCCCCCCCATACCTGGGGAAACCAGAAAGTACCGATACCGTCGCTCCCACAACCTCTCCTTGGGCTGCGTCCTCACCAAGCCTTCGAGGCCCAAGAGCGGGAAAACGAGGGAAGGGCAGAGGGATGGGTACCTCTACCTCTGACGAGGCTGCACTCCACGGCCAGGATGTTATTCGTGAGAATACAAGCACCTCTTTTTCAATTTGTTATTGCCACGCGCCATATCAAAAAGCGAAAGACCTCAGTGGATGGTGGAAGGAGTTCAGGGAGCAGTGCGACCTTTGAAAGCCAGACGTACTCCTCATCGACGCGAATGCAAAGCTGAGCCACAAGGACCTCTGACCACCCCCCTTCTGCGCGTGGCCGACATTCGCAGAAGGCATCCATACACCACCACCGTGCCAAGGCAGGGCCATCCTGGGCCCCGGGATGGTGCATACGCCCTCCTGGCCGAGGCCGAGAGGGTCTATACACCATCCTGGGGCCCAGGATGGCCCTGGCCTTGGCACGGTGGTGGTGTATCGATGCCTCCGTCGGCCGACAGAGGGAGCGGGCCCCTGGGCGCCGGCCGCTGCAGGGGCCTGCCGCCGCGGGGGGCGGGGCCCGCGACGGCGGGGGAGAGCATGTGCGGCGGCCGCCCGCGGCGCGGCCCCGGCAGGCCTGCCCAGGGGCCCCATGTCGAGCGCGGCCTCGGGCCGGCCAGGGCGCCGACCAGGCCGAGGGTCTGCCCGAGATAGGGCACCGCGCTCTATACAGTCGGGGCGTTGACCTAAGGAGCCCTAAGTAAGGAACGAGGCCCCTTTTTTCCATGGGTTAGACTTCGATGTCCTATCGAAAACAGAAGGAAAGCCTGAGGCAAGCTGTGAAACACTTAAGGAACACGGAGCCCCTTCCCAAACGAGAAGGGTTCCTTCTTCAGCGCCCCGACTGTACACCGACGTTTTTTGTGCGGCCCTGCACGGACCTTTGCGCAAGAAGGCGGGGACAGGTCTATACGGGACCCCTGGTGTACACATGTTCCCACGTTCCCCGGGAAAGC